TATGTCCTCGCGCGATCACCTATCTTACGACCCGACTGACCAGCTGACTTGGGTTACAATTAATGTTTCGACACGAATTTTATTCAATTATTTAATATTTTTTGCAAGTTTATGTAGAGAGTATTCGTTAGATACATAGATGTCGGTCTTTTTTTTTAACTTGATAGAGATCTGTATTTTGGATTGAGAGACGTAGCGATGTTTCATGCGAAGATATAATTATGCATCAAACATAGGAGCTTTTTTCAGCTGTATATGAGCGTGCATGTATAATATCGCGTTTTAAAAGTCACAAAATTAATCTATGCATAAAGAGCACACGGATTCTTTGATGCTCAGAATTAATCGACAAAAAGATGATCCAGTAGCTAAAGCAGTACAAGAGTGAAAAGCAGCAATTGATCAAGTATTCGAATAACAAATTCGAGTGTAACATGCGTTACAGAAGACCTAATCGGAAACACGGGACGCATATTTAGATAGAAAAAAAATATATACGTAAATTAGTAGAGATTAAAAAATCACTAAGGCAAAAGCGGAGAGAGCCTCTGTGCACGTGAACGCGGAAAATGTTAAATGTTAAATGGGCTCAGACTGTTAAGAGAATGTACGTACAATGTATGCATGCACACGTGTATATCCATGTATGAGTTAATGCGCCGTGGCGTGTGCAATGCATTTTTTTATCCGTCGACAAACGAACGGACGAACGTGACGTGGTCGCGCTAATCAAAATCCGATGCGGCGGCAACGACCGCCGATTAAGCGGTCTCTTCTGAAGCTCCCCGTCACGAATCCGCGAAGCTGCAGCGCGGTTTGACATAGGTCCGCGCGCTGGCCCTATGCCGCCCTATGTGTATATTTCGAATATACATATTTATATGCAGAGTTTGCGCTCACGCGGTCCACTTTCCGTGTCCACGTCGATCGTCCCGGAGCGACACGGACTGGTCCTCCCTTTCCCCTCCCCCCTTCAGCCCGGCCAGTTACGGTCCGTTTAAAATATGAAACGCGGTGACAGCTAAAATCTGCAGGAAGTTCGTACAATGCAGTCGGACTGCGGGCTACGGCGCGAGACAGGAAGCCGGTCAATTGGAAACGGGGTGACCGAGTTACGAGCTCCCGAACTATACCACACCGCGCTGCGTCCGCGTTATCCCTCCGCATCCCTTGGCAACCTGGCGTATCGAGTTTCTTTAGCAAAATCACTCCCCTCTTTCCTTTCCCTTCGCGTTATACTGCTAGATCTCAGCCGCGCTGCGCCGTAAGGAAAAAGAGTCTTGATTCTCTGCGGGAACCGTGGCTGGCGACTGCCTTGCAACAACCACCGGTGGGTGACCCAGCTCACGTTCACAAACGTGCAACCGTTTCTTCGCTAATGTCGCTTCCTGTTCACGTAAAAAAATTTCGATATACTGAACGTAACCGTAAGGTGGACCGAGATCCGAGCGTCACAATGAAGTCTTTCGGTCGACACGTTTGTGAGGCGGATTGCGAAAATATTTTGCTCGTATGTCGCGATAATGCCGCTTGTCGTCCAAGTTCAATGACTTATTTATATAGAGTACGTTTCTTTTCGCGTAAAATATATATTCTTGTTGTTGCTTTAATCGGTATTTTGAATCTGAAGTCAAGTTTTGCGTGAATAATCATTTCGTCTTTCATCAGCCAAGTAATCTCAATAGTTCTGTAATCAAACAGCGACTATTGAATTGTCTATGTCTCAAAATATAAGCTTCCATTTTGTATATCTCTAATATACTCGAAGACAAAATTCAAATAACGATTATACAGTTGTATAATGAGCCCGCAGAAGCACATCTAAGTGCAAATTAAACCAAGTGCAAGTACGTGGCATTTCGGATCTTTAATAGCCCGCTGTCTCACAATTAAGAACTAGAAAAGCTGAAACTCGACTATATTTTTAGCTTATTTAATTTTATCGTTGTATTAATTTTATCCTATACACATTTTTATGTAATATTAAAAATGTTTATTCGCACATACGTAACACTAAATAAAACACTTAGATATTAATTAGCCAATTATAATCCAAGAGAATAATCAAAGTACAATAATAATAGCTATCACATAACTTCACTAAACTTTTTAAGCAAGCACAGACAATTGCAAGCGCTGATGTTAAACGGATTTTGGCTGTATATCGTCCAAGGTCTCAAAAAATATTTGAACATGTTGATAATTGCTTGTTGATATTATAAGATAAAAGCTTGACGCAGTATAATGGCGTAACGTCGATATCGGGATGAAAAGGATTAAAACGCGGCGCCATGTGAAATACGTTTACTATCTTGTTACAACGTCAATCAAAACGCACGGCAATAAATCATCAGCGTACCATATCCCTCGGATCAAGCACCGAAAACTCTATACCACGTTGATAGCGCGTATACATATAACGAATATAGGCGTTACGATATTATCTTCCAGTAAATATAATAAATTTTCGTAACGCCGGCAGGTATTTTATATACGAAATATATTTATCGCGCGGCGAGATGTTCGAAATTAAATCGTTCGAGCCATCAGAGGGTGGCGCACAATAAAGGAACAGCACACGGTCGACCATCGCCACGAGGATTCGGTAAAATTGAACGGATATCGTTTGAATTGAGTGTACTCGGTCCTATCCGCCCCTTAAATTCACCATCCTTTCGTGGTCGTCGTCGTCGTCGTCGTAGTCGTAGTCGTCGCCACCGTCGTCGTCGTCGTTTCTGACTTCCGTCTGGCGTACGTCGCGCGAGCTCTTATTAAAGGTGGCGATTTATCGCTAGTAATAACGGTGCGGTCTGGTGCTGCTTGGCGGCGAATGTCTCCTTGCCAAGGTTCTCCGGGAAGAGCAAAAGCGAGCTCGTGGCGCGAAGAGGAAGAGGTCAGAGGGCAGAAACTGGAAAGTAAGGGTTTATTCGCGGCAACCCCGTCCGCGCGAGGGGTGGGTGATACTTCTCCCTTCCCCCACGACAGTGTGTTATCAAGCGTGCGTTAAGCATGTGTATGTGTGTATGTGTATTTGTGTGTGTGTGTGCGCGCGCGCGCGACGGGGTAGATTAACAATTCCTGACATTTTAGTGGCGCTCCGGATGCGTTAACGCCACTTCAAGTACCGGAGTGCCCGACTGTAACGAGCTCCAGGATTGATTAACCGCCTCTGTCGAGCGACCCGCAACTACGGACTACGTGCTTCTCTAAGCAAACGAGACGACGGCCCGACGAAAGATCCTCGGAACTTATAATTACCGCTTGATTAATCGCCATTTTGACAGATAACTCGGAAACGGAGGGAATTTTTCACTGACTCGTCGCCGTTGTGCTCGGATCGTCTACCGTATGCATCGATTAATCTTTCTAAAATATTGGACTATGTAAATTAGCTGCCGCGTCTGCCGACTTTTCGGACAACCAATTCCGGACGAATCGGTTTCGGTAGTTGCTAGTCACGTTAAAGGTCGGGAAAATAGGAAACATTCATCATAATATGAATATATGAATCGTACTTGGATCTTAACGATTTCAGAGCGTTTTGCACTAAACGCGAGGATATTCAGATTAATTCGGCTAACTTCTTCACACGTTGATCTATATATAATACCAAACTAAAATCCAGCTTGAAATAAAGTTTATAAGTACAGAAGATAGTCGACTTTTTCCGAAATTAGTCGACGCAGATACTTTGTTCAGACTACATACGATCAGATAATTATTGACGAATATTAATAGTAAGTTTCGAGCGGAATGGCATTATGAAAGAAATCTGCATCGATCAACACAGCATTAGGCGTCTTAAACGGTGGCAGGTGTTTTCCCACGTCAGTAATGATCGAAACGATCGGTCGACCGGGTTTGGGCCGCGCATAAACATCGATAGAAGGAACAGGTCACCTGCTCAAGGGGTTAAGAAGACGAATAAGCATTATTCATACCGTGAGCGCCTATCCTTAAGTTATTCATCTCATGAATTAGTAAACACGATGAAGAGAAGCTTTGGCTCTCGCGTATCGCGGCCCATCCCTTTAACAAAGTTTACCAGAATATTAAGTCCAAACGATTCTCTTGCCACTCATGCTTGCCTTATCGGAAGATACAACCAATTTTGTGATTAATAAATTCGAAAGAATTACTATATAAAAAAATGTTATGACAATTGTCTCGTAACAATGCGTTACATATTATTTTCTTGATGGGTATATTGAAACGTGATTTATAATTTTAAAGAAGAAGCTAGATTAAAATGTTGAAATATAAAGATGATATTAGTCAGGAAAGGTAATTTCTAAATTTTTCAATTTTCTAATATGACTACCAATATATTTTCTAGATCGAAAATAAAATCTGATAGCGCCGAACGTGCGTATAATACCCATCTCGTTCCCTTCGATTTCTCCTAATGAAATTTTTAAAGAATTCTCGAAGACGCAGAAGGGTCTCAATATTCTCTCATTCGGAACCGCACAGGTCTCTATCGAGGTTGTCAGTAATATTTAAAGGAAGGAGGAAATGGTTTAGCGAGAGGAAAGCAGTTACCGCTCGCGTCCCATCACGGCATCGTCGAAGCGTGCGACTGTAGGCTGGAAATAGATTACAAACGTAATATTTCAACCGCCGTAAATATTCATCGCTGCTGGTGTTGGCACGGCCCTTTCGTGCTGTCATCTTGTTTCCTTCTCGTCCGTCTCGCGCCGACTGGCAGTCTTGCGACGTAGCGATCTAATTGGGATAAGGAGAATTTTTGTACCAGGTGGCCCCTAATTGGTTACCCGTCATTAGGGTGGTCCCGCAATCCTAGTTATCTTAGTGTAAACCTTGACACGTCAAGTAGTGGCACTCCTGAGACTTTCGCGAACTTTGGCATGTCGTTGAGATCGTCAAGCAGGCGTACAAATGATTCACATTTTCGCAATTTTGTTTAAGATCTCTTGTTCTTTTTCCCGAATTAGGTGCTAAATAAATAGAAATAATCGTAAAAATAATATGAATGCGGTTATATTTTAAATTTCTTGCATATGTGCATATACATGTATGTACTATACAATCTATATTTTGTAAAATTATCGCCCGTATAAGGCAGCTAAAACTTTGATATTAATAATATGCTGCAATGCATATTATCAACAAAATTTTTGCTTGAAATATATTTTGCAAGATATTGTCAACATATATAGATATATTGTATATAACATATAAAGTGATATAATTAAGTATTACATCCGCTATCTCGATAGATTCATAAAAAATGGTTCATAATAAGACATATCAAAATATAAAAAGAGAGTTGATTTAATATAAATATAAGGAATGTTTTATATAACAATCGCAAACGTCTTGATTTCATTTTATGATAAATTATTTCATCGTACCTATTAACAATTTATCTAAATAACATTTATTGTCTATGCAATAGGCGTGATAGATTCTTGTAAGATTCTTGTAAAAAAAAATATGCTTCTTTTGATTTGTTAATAAGAACTATTCAAAGGTGGTCTCAATTTAAGTCTTCGTTTCTTGTTCTCGCTGCTCTTGTTGCGTTTGTCCTTCGTCGACGTCCCAATTTTCAACATCCGGTACCGGATAATTCCACGGTTGAATTTTGGCTGATCCGAAGGCCGCAAATACCAAGAAAGCGACAACCTGGGCGACGATGGTAATCCAAAATGCGATCCTCCAACGCGCTATAGTATGCTGTCAGAGAAGACATGATTAAACATTAAGACAATGTGAAATGTTATTTTTAGTACTTTTTAAAACAAGCTATAAAATTTAATATGTTACAAAATTACTTCGGACATTTTGACAACCAAATAACATAATATTAAATTTCTCATTTTAAAGATCTTATGTCACAATAAAGTTCACTTCGCAGTTGATTACGCAATTAGGATTCAGTGTCTCTTAGAGCGAATATCGGCTTAACTTTCTTATCTCGGGTTAAAGTCGTTTCACCTTTCGTAAAACTTCAAGAAAGTAGAATCTCTGTGCACGACTTATTAAAAATTCAGGAAATTGGTAATCACGTCACGTGGCTCTTAACAGACATTTCTTTCTTTCTTTTTTTTTTTGTTTGATCATGCATTAAGTGTTCAACTCACTCCTTCCGCTACGAGAGCACCAACTATCGGTGGTAAAATGAAGGCAGAAATAGTGCCTGGAGTATTTGTAATGCCCATGAGGATTCCTGCGTAATTCGGAGCCAGATCGTTCTGATTACAAAGATGGCCAACGAATATAGCACCACAGACTACTATGCTTAGAGTTAGCAGCACGGTCGATGTCAAACGATCGCAACCAATGTACGCGATTATAACGAGGAAAATGCTAGGTGGTATAGTGCCTGGAAAGAAAAATATATTAAATATATATTATACAATAAATATATCAAAAATCTCTGTTATGTAACTGAACTTATTAATACAAATTCAATATAAATAACAGACAAATTATTCAGATATATATTTGAATCTATGTATATAATATTAGAAAGTATAACAATCAGTACGATGCATAATACAGTTGATTCATATCAATTATAATTTGATATAAATGTTACAGAAATATGTTACGTATTGCTATTAGAAATAGTAACAGAAATTACAATGTCACGTGCATTATTCGAAATCTCGGCCGGCCATAAGGGTCACGCAGAAAATATTTGCAAACAATACTTCATTAATATGTAAATTGTAGATATAATTTAAATTTAGTTCTTTAAGTTGTGCTATTACATTCGCTAATGTTATGGATTGCTAAAGTTAAAAAAAAGAGAAAGAAATGCTACTTATTTTATTAATTAATTAAAAGAGAAAGTACCATAATATATAGTTATGCGTACCATCAGTAAAAATAATACAGTATTTTTATTATTTTCTTTATAAACACAAAAATCCTATTTTTTTACGGAACTATTCTTAATCTGTTATAAATGTGATTTATATTTCTACATAACGACGAATATCTATATTCATAGAGCTATGCTATTATGTGTGGAATTCCATCTCAAATACATACTTATAAAAACCGCAATTTTACGTGCAACCGTCTGCGACCAGAATCCCTTTTTCCGCCCCCAATCTAAAACCCTGCCGATTAGTGGATTAGTGAAGGCGTTCACGAGATACGGGGTGCAAACGATAACGGCATTCTGTAAAGTATTTCAGGAAAAATTTACACAAAGAGTTGAGATATATTTCACATAGCTACGTACGTCATACAGAACATACAGAATAAAATAATATTATTATATACAAAAATGCAAAATATTATTTTATCCATAATATTATTCCGCTCGTAATATCTTTTGGATTTAACATATATATTTCATAACTTGAAATACGTAGTACGTAGTTACGTCTCTATGACACAATTTATATATATATACATATATATATATATATATATATATATACAAGAAGAAATTACACATGTTATTATCCCTATTTCGCACTCACCGATGTGATATTGTATCGCAATATCTTGTTCATGTAAAGCGGCAACTGGGTGAGCAAGAAATACCAACAGAAGTTGCCTAAGGTATTCGTGACGAGCAGAGCCAAAAATGGTACCGATGAAAATATACTTTTCCACGGGATCTTCATCTCTGAGGAACCGGGCGTACGATGACCGTACGAGCTCACGATGAACGATCTTTCCTGCTCCGTTATATACTTTTGCTCTTCCGGACAACCGGCGAAAAATATATAAAAAACGACGCACCAGATCAATGGTAACGTTCCGTGGATGTAAAAAATAGCCTCCCAGCCAACGTAATTTAATATCAATCCGGAGGTAAGAATAGATATCACGGTGCCGAGCGACGTTCCGGCGTATATGATGCCGACCCACGTGCTTTTCTCCTCATACACGACCCATGTTCCCAGAAGAACGTTTACTATAGGAAGATTCGCCGCGCTCACGAGACCGGTCAAAAATCTCACGACGTATAGCACGTACAGCTCGCTCGCCGCGATCGGCACCAACATCGTTAAGATTCCATTTGCCAGCACGCATATTAACAATACGTACTTCGTGTTGAACCTGCACCGATAAATTTCATTACCACAATTTATAGAGATATATAATATATATTTATCCTGAGAATAAATAGAATTTATAAATGGACTAGTCACTTACCGATCCGCCAAATATCCCGATGGAAACATGCCGATGAGATATCCGGCAAAATATATACTAATGACCAAACCTTGCTGGCTTGCCGTCCAATCGAATGGACCGTCGATATCGGTGGCGGCATTCCCAGGAACATCAAATTCCGGACACTCATCCGACCAATCAGGTACACCCGGTTTTTTCTTCACCATACCAATAATAGCCGTCGCGATATTCACTTTCAGACCATAAATGATCATGTTCGCGATGCATAGCATTACAGCGAACAAGTATCGTACGCGTATCTCTAAAGTCAAGATTAAAAAAGACATGTAAAATAATATGTATTAAAGATTAAGTTTGTTTAACCTATGAGATGCAGTTTAGTAAATTACAATTTACTATTACGATGAGTACGTGCCGAAATGTGAGAGAAAGTGAGAGAAAGTAAGAGAAAGAGAAGCAAGAGAAACAATGAATATGTATTATTTTTACACTTCATTCAATGCGCCAAATCGATAATACTAAAAATCTATTTTTGCAAGTAAGTTTACAACTATAGTTTACATTAAATCTCTTTTACACTAACGACGATATCAAGCATTCAAGGAGAATCATGACAAGGCAGTAAAATGTATCGTTTAAATGTAGAAAAATTACGTTACATTAGATATAAACGTCTATTATATATACATATAATATGCATAAATTTATGCCTTGCAAATTAGAAGATAATAAAATTGTTATCCTTGACTATTATTATATAAATGTTAATTTATGACAGGAAATATTTCCTTACCCATTGTTCTGAATATTCAATGTGACCTCGGTTAATGAATCGATGACATTGATGACCATCACGTTTCAAATCGTTGCGCCAGTGTCGCCGTTTTCGTCGTTTGTTTCTGTATCGATATAATCACCAATTCAGTCTCGCTGCTCGCTCGCGCGCACGTTCAACTGCTCGAGGACGACTATCGAATTATATCGCCGACGATGAGACGGCACCCATGCACGAGATACCCAAAATTCCTTCTCCACGAATATCTTTCTGGATTTGTGTCTCGGCGCTGAGCATTCCTATCGACGCGAGATTACGCGCCGCAGAGCGGAAAGCACACTGTCATTCACTTGTAAAGTCAATACGGTTCGAGGCTTCACTGCCTTACTCAATTCCGCTAATAAATATGTTATTCCCTTTGCCGAACGATAACGGTCGCGCGTATCAAGAGAGACGGCAGTGTCTCGCGTAACAGCGAGGCAGACGTATATCTATGTGTGAGCCGACTATTATATACAACGATAATGTTGCCACGTAGAACAAAACAATTTCGAAACGTTCGTGCTCTACAATGTATAAAAACAGATATTTTCGCAATTATTCCTTCCGTATATGTTTTAAATAACGGATATACCAGGCAAGTTTAATTTATTTTCAATGTCGTATTTAAGCAATCCAGTCTCCGATTTCGATTCCAATTTTAACACTAGATGTTTACTAAATGAGATAACGTTCTTGCTCAAGTTTTTCATATCACGATGCAATTCTCTGTACGAGTTCACGATATTTTGAACTTTGAAAAGTAGATATTATACAAATCCGTGCTCTTTTTGTACTTAATACCTTATCAATTAAGGTATAAATTTCGATTTCTTGAAATTGATACTGTGAAATTGCAATTTATAGCATTCATTTGATGTCTGCACGATATTCTGAATTATTCTCCCTTCACCTTATATTTAAAACTTATATAAATAAAAAAAATTCTGTTTTTAATAAAAATGTATCAAAATCTGTCAATTTAATACTTACGTTAAAGTCTTTCTCTCCTTGTCTTTAAATTAAAAAAAGATCCATAAATATATCATGGGATAGTTTCAAAACACCTATATTCACTCCACGTGCATACTCGATAAGTTCTTAATACCAACAGAGAAAAGGTGATAACAGATATATAAACGCGTCAGCAAATTATGTTTGAATGACGTATGCGGTCAGCGGAACTAGGTATATAATCCGATGTGTGAATGGCGTTACGAAAGACGGTACGACACGAGTTGCCCGGCGGTCACACGAGCACTAAACTAAACTATGGAAGCGGCTGCGTTTTAACTTTCAGTAATTTGCACATAAGTGGTGATTCCATAATGTGAAACAACACTGCCTTATATTTGCTGAGTCATTACATAGAATAACTTTGATTTTTTTTTTATCTGTTATAGTATTCTATACATGTACGTTACAATATGCAGCTTAATGCAATTACACGATCATTAAAGAGATTCAGTAGATAAAGCTTGTTTTTTACTACTAAAGGCAGCAACTGTGTGAATAATTATTGAAATAACACAGCGAAAAAAAAGTAATATAATCATTTGCACTTGATTTATTTAACTTTTTTATACTCAAGGTCGTACATTTCTTTTTAAAAACGATTCCTTGAAAGCGAAGGCACCACCAGTCGCAGTCGACGAGATCATTCTCTAAAACCGGTTTTCACGGCGGTATCTGCCGTTATTCATGCCGCGTTTCTCCGGCGATAATTAAAACCAAACGCGCCTGCATTGATTATACAAGCACAGACGACAGTTTCGTCTCCGTTAACGGCTCGACGCGGCGATGGCAAGGTCTTACTCGCGCGATATCCAATGTGAATGTCCCAACCATTATCTCGGTAGGCCGCCAACATCGAAACTCGAGTCTCTCCTCTCGCCGCGATACGCGGTGGCACACGATAGCATTCTTAACGGACATTCGTCGGCGAGACGCCGCTTAATGTTTATGGGCTGAAGATAATGGGGTCTCCCTGGTGAGCCCATGTCCAAACGGATGAGAAACGTTCCGGCAGCGTAGCCTAGGACTCCCCGCCGACCATAACCCGCAGTCTTGGATATCTGTGCATTCAACATATAGTAACGCCCCCCGAATTATATTCAGTACACGTGTCATCTTTTTCCGTCAACCAATTCGAGATAAGCTAGGTACATTACACACATAATAATATTGCCACGATATCATCTTCCTGCATATTTTATAACATGCATATGTGTAAAGATAAATATATATAAACGTGTTGATATAAATAATTTTATATTAATATTTATATTCACATAGCTCACTTTTCTATAGCAAAAATAAAATTTATGCGAAATCCACACTGAATATCCCCGCGGAAATATTGTATGCGTGCGATTTCCTGCCGCGAGTATCAACAATGCATTTATTGTATAAGTTAATGTGTTATCATGTCTACATTTGTGAAAGATAGTCTCTGCTAGGTGAACCGATGCTTATCATACAAAGCAAATAATCATATGTAATAAGATTTAAGAAAAAGGAAGGGGAGAGAAAGAGAGAGACAGAGAGAAAGAGAGAGTATGTAGATATAGATTAAAGATATTAAATAATATTCATATAAGCTGTGCATTATCGAGACATTAGTGCATGCATATCTAATTTATACATTAGAGTGTGACCATCGCAGATACATATAATAAATAATAGATTATTTATGTACTTAACATAGATAACAAACATTAGTAAATGTTACTATTACCTACATACTTGATGATAAGATAATCTCGCGTACGATTCTCAACTAATAGATAAAAAATTAAACTGACCTATCTAATATTTTATATTTAAAGAGGATGGTTGCTCAAGTCAAAGTGATAAGAATTAGTTTATGAAGGATTTTCAAATTATGATATACAAATTTATGGAGGATATTCGTCTGGGAATCTGTCGTCTATGCTAACGTTGAAGACAATTGTCTGGCATGGTTGTCGAGTAATTAATTATTAAAGTTATACTCTTATCTCTCTCTTATACACGGGCGACATAGCAAAAATGTTATGACACCTGTAATGTAACTCTCGAAAGCATATTAAAAATGATAAGAATTTAATGAAAGGTGCAAATAATATTCATAAGCTGTGCATTATCGAGACATTAGTGCATATCTAATTTATACATTAGAGTGTGACCATTGCAGATACATATAATAAATAATAGATTATATTCTTTACATATTTAGGAAGAACTTTTACGAAGACTGAAATGATTTGTCTACATAGTTATTAAGAAATTGTAAAACAGCATATTGCCACATTTCAACGTGGATAATAACGTATTTGGGTTTCAATTGTACAAACAACGATTTAAAACCTTAAGAAACAGCTAATTGAATGCATTCCATATATTTATTTGCTAAAACTCGTTTATTTCACGCGACGAAAACACACCTATAGGCTTTCCGCTGTCCCGTCGTCTGCCCCACAACGTGACGACAACCAACCTCCTCAAAAGTTTATTAATCTCAATAAAACTTGAGTTATAAACGGAGCAGTCAGTATTTAAATGCCGCGTAAGCATCTTCGTCTGCGATAATGTGTAGGTCTATGTAGGTCATTCTACGATATAACTTGCGTAACGCGTTATCGCGAAACAAAGTCGAGACTTGCACATCAACAAGTATTTTACAATTTTTACCTTAAATATTATACTTTTACATAATGTATCTCATTCAACATTGGAATTTTTTTAACATAATGCTATACCACGCCGTATGTCATGCTTTCTTTTCGGTGCAAACCGCATACGTTTTTGCATCGTTCGCCGCCCGATAGGTAGCGGCGAACACAGAGCGGTGGACAATAACGACGCCACCGCGACCATCACAATATTTTTACCAGACCCGCGGTCTCTTTCGTGCGGTAAGCATGTGACAGGCGTGACGAAACGTTCGTAGAAACGAGAAGCGCGCAGACGGAAGTGGTTGCCGCGGCAGTCTCGTGACGACGACGACACAACGACGACGATGACGACGGCGACGACAACGACGTCGACGAAGCTTGGAGACGCACGAGTTGCCATCATCCTCGCGCCTCTTCTGGGCTTATTCGGCCCAGCGCACACCTGCATTCGTACCGGGGTAAATGCTCGCGCGCATACCTGCTAGAGGAATATGGCAGGTTGAGATGGGAGAAGCGGGGAATCCACTCGAGAAAACGCAAAGCTTCGAGCACCGGTAAAAATGGATACGTCGCCGTCGCGTCCGGGAGAAGGAGACAGAGAAAAAGGAGAGATGTGAAAAGACGAAAAAAAAAGAAAAAAAAATCGGTAGGTGCTCGAAACGTAGAACGTTTGGATGCACGACGTTTTGCGCCGATTAAAGACGCAAAAGGACTTTCGGGCACGATGGGAACAATGGTGACGATCGCGGTGGTCGATTAGCACAGCAACGCCGGCGCTTGAAAACGGGATCGGACCGCAAAGGATCCAGGACACTCCAGCCGCTACTTCGCATTGTACCAGGCATTTCGGGCCTTGCTAGCTGACTTTGTCCACAGTGTAAACACAACCCTCAGACTGCCGCTCCTCGAGACAGACCTGTCAAAGACCGGTATTCCTCGCCGACCGAACACCAATTAACTGCCGGTTGCAGGTTGAAGCAGGTTGACCCATCGTGCTAACGAGCACGATGCCCTCTTTTAACGTTCTTTAATTTTCATCCACTGTTCGGACCACCTACTACGAAAAGACATCGAGCTGGTTCAACGAGGCAACACGTTGAATTTCAGTTGACTCGTCTGATTTATTACATTAAATTATTTAAAGGTTAAAGTGTAATTGAAATTTGTCTATCAATTTGCAAAAATAAATTGAAGAATGACACGTAGAATTAGACGAACATCCATCATTGTCAATCAAATATCGCAGGATGAAGAGACCAAGTTTTAACGCAGTTAATTCTCTTTTTCACTCTTTCTCTCTCTTTCTCTCTCTTTCCCCTGAGCAGGTGCAAATATTATATAATAAAATGAAGGAAACAATGCCAATTTTCTAATAATTTCTTTATATATTCTTATATCTATTTCCACTCATTACGACACGATAAACAATGGGAAACAGCATTGAAGGAACTCAGGAAAGTCACAGTAGTTTTTAATGCATCAATTATTTCTCACACCAAGTGACGGCATTTTCAAAGAAATCATTTCGAAGCGAGCCGCCTATAAATATCCGAGAGTACGACTAATTTGCAAATAAGAGGAAACGATTTTCAAACAATGATACGGAGCGTGCGATCGGGGAAGCGAAGCGGGGGCCAGAAGGTAATGTATCATCTCTCGCGCGTCCTATCTTCCATGAAGTCTATACCGCCCGAAGCGTGCTGGAGCGCACGGCGCGCGCGTTTTCCGCGTTGCATTTAAATGAAACGGACAGGTCCCATCGCGCTCGAACGCACGAGGAGGAGCGAACCACCGCTGGAGCGCACGCGTGGCATGCATTGCTCCGCGAGAGAGAAAAAAAAGAAAGGAAATACACACAGGAGACGAAGAGGTGATATATGCGGACATTAGTTATACACGAGATGTATGAGGTTTTGCGGCGTCACTCTGCCACTGTCAGATTCCGGCGCGGTGCTCGTCCCGACATAATCGGGACGACCCATATTTCCCCGCCGCAATGCGTCAAGCTTTCCCCCCCGCGTGCGATTCCCCGTTTCGTACCTTCATTTTTCACTCCGCTCGTGATCTCTCCCGCGCCCAAATTCACCTTCCATGTCGTCGCGAGCGTCTACCGCTTCTCCATCCACCGCGCCCGCACTGCTCCGCGACGCCTCTCCATCTCTCCCTGCCTTCCCCCCACGGCACACGACCCGCCGGCGTCGCGACGATTGTACATCGCTTCCGGTGAAATTCTCCTCCTCGGTATAGAATACGGGAACGGGAGTCCCGATCGAGACGAATCGATTCGCGAAATGCCGCTGGCACGGCTGGAACGACAGTCAAAGCGTCGTAGTAAATATTGGCCGACTATTTTCTATCTATTTCCGATGCTACGAAGCGCTACCTACTTTGATAAGCGAGCCGATACGCGAAGCTGAAATTGACGGTCACGCAGTAAATTTTCTCTACAAGTGTGTGGAGAAACTGTCCAAATAAAAAGAAATGTCTTAAGATACGCTTGCTAAATCTTTAGTTTCGTATTTCGATTTTAGATATTAAAAAGAAACATTTGTCTGATTTATTTAAATTTTGAGAATATGATTAGAAATGTTATTTACCGGAGCGATATGTGATCCAATGGATATTATCGTGATTAAATAATATATCATCATGTTCTTGGCGGGACGTTGAATGTATGTAAAGGCTGCAACTAGAGCTGCTCTGGAACTTTTCTCTGGT